GGTATGTTTTTTTTTCAAATACGGGTGTACTTACATATGTAAATATTTGTCAAATATATATAAAAAGTTGTATGTACAAAACACACGTGAATTCCCATAGCTAAAAGCGCTCTTATACGATATGTATTTCCATGCTACTTTTCTGATACGTTCTAATATATGATACATACGAGTACATGCAAAAAAGTAGCATTTACATATGCAGATACATATCGAAGAATTTTTATGTTAAATTTTAATAGCATAAAAGCTCTAGCTTTACTTTTTATTCGTGAGTTCTTAGATATATAAGTTGATGTAAGATATTACATACTTACATACTTATATGGGCCAACGCGATGTCACCAAAAAATGCTTTCCCGCAGGATTTGCGTTACATATGATGTAGAGTTGCTGACTGTAACATAAACGGAAGGTACGCATTTTGCGCTTTCACAAAAATTATAAAAGCCAAAGTGGTGAAATGGAAGAATAACAGCTTGCACCATTCTGGGTGCGTGCCTTGCGTACATAGTACTACACGTTGTACAGGTCGTATACGTAATTTTTTTGGCATAAACCTAACCAAGCGCGAGCCAGGGTAACAGGGAATTTACATGAGGCGATTTTTCAGACAACTTTTAGTTGAAAGCAACAATCGCCTGGTGTAAACGGCCTTTCAAACAAATCGCTTTCAATGAAGTTGGTCGGCTGCCTACTTTCGTTTAACTTTTGATTCAACTAATTGCCTGTGAAAGTTGCATCATGTGAATTCTCTATAAAAGCCTACAGCTGCGAGGCTATGTCGACATGCGTGCGTTGAGTTTGCATTTAATTTCAGGTTTGTGTGCTCTGGCGAAAAACACCTTCGGCCTGATACAGTTTGTCGTTGCCGCTGCGTAAATAGCTGCTTTGCCACATACATATGTACCAGGGTTGAATGCGAATATTCGCATTCGCGTTCGCAAAAATCAATGCGGATCTTTTGTGAATGCGAATATTGAAGGGACCGAAAATTACAGTTATTTTTTTTACGAGTTAAACTTTCGACTAGATTGTGAAGATGAAAGTCAGGAGGATACATCCGACATTTGCAGCCTCGATGAAAACTCTCAAAAAGTAATTATTGCACCCCAATAAAAATAAATAAATATAACCGAAAGTCATCTCAACTGTGAATTGTCAAGAATCGAATCAATCGAAAAGAATTTACAATTTTGTCAAGTTTCAGGTTTTCCAAGTTTGTCGGCTAGTGCGAGTAGTTATGGAGTGGCGCAGGTTTGATTTACGACCCTTTAAAAAGTTTTTATTAAATACAATATTCCAATTTTCAAATTCAAGTACTAAAAAAAAAACATTCGGTCTTATCACGCGTTTCAGTTTTCCCGAACCGGTTCTCTTTTCACTTTTGGTTTTCATGTATTTACTATGGGCGGAATACAAATTTTCAGGTGAATTTTTTTTTCGGGTGAAACTCAGGATAAGGCCGATTATTAAAAATTACTAATCTTTCCATTTTTTATTTACCTAAATTACCTAATTTACGCATTCGCATCCGCGGATTGCTAAAATTCCACATTCACAACATCCCTAATATGTACATAGTACTTAGCGCCGCCATTCAGGTGTTCATGCTTGCAGGCAACACTCGTCATCATCATCGGATTTCCACTTTGTTGTTGTTGTTGTTGTTGTCATTGCTGTTGTCAAATGCTAATAATACGCAATTGCAGAAACTTGTTTGTTGT